TCGCACGCATGCCCAGAGAAGGTTCTGCCTGCCACCTCTGGCACGCATGCCATAGGTTCACCATCACGGTCCGATACTTCTTATAAACCCCAAACTGGCTGTTGTTACAACTGCGCTACTCTTCTAACGGCTGTGACGCGGCTGAAAGCTCCATGCCGTGAGCTGCTCTTTTCTGCCCGCCAAGGCGTTCCTTACCCCCCACCGTCTTTGCCAATCCATACTTACGCATTTTTCCATCTCTAATCCATCCTTAAAGAAAATCATATAGGGGGTCACGCCATCTTCGCGGAAGTCCAGTAGCCCCACCATGCCGTCTGGATTCATATTCTCGCCTACAAAAAACTAGAGGAGGAAATAAATGCCACCCGTTAAAAACAGTGGTTGCCAACCGGTGGGCTGGAGACCACTGGTGGTCCGTGAGAAAATGTGGGTGGTCCGCAGAGAAATGTCCCCCCCCCCCAAAGCAATTAATCCAGGCTAAGCGGGAACACAAGGCTGCACCACCCACATGGACCGCAAGGCTTGCGTCGCTTGCACTGAGAACACGGGGTAGTGAGGGGAGGGGGGAAGGGGTGGACAGGGGGAACTTGCCCCGCATGCCTGGCCACCGGGCTGCTTCTTTCTGCTCCTTCCTTCTTCTGCTTTTGGCTGCATGCAAGGAAAGCAGCAAAAGTCTTTCTTTCTCTCCCCCAAACTCTGCCAGAAATGAGTCTTTGGGACCATGCAAGGCCTCCTGCTCCAAAAGGCTGTGCTGGCACAAGAAGTCTCACAAAGACTCACTTCTGGCGGAGTTTGGGGGAGAGAAAGAAAGACTTCTGCTGCTTCTGCTGCTTTCCTTGCATGAAGCCAAAAGTCTCTTTCTCTCTCTCTCTCTCTCTCTCCCCCTGAGAATGGAGCTGGAGACGGTATCCTGCAATCCCAAATAAAGAATGATCGATCAGTAGGAAAATTAAGGGGGGAATTTTCCTGCAGACTTTTTGGGGGATTTTCCCAGGGTCTCTGTGTCTGCAGGATTTAAAATTGTTGAGTTTGGTGGTCCCTGAGGTCCAAAAGGTTGGGGGGGGCCTGCGTTAGAAAGATAAAATACAAGCTGGGCTCTTGGCTCAGACATTCCCCCTCCCCCCCCCCCATACAGAAATAAATCTCCAGACATGTTTAATATTTTAAGACACAGTGTGGCCAGATTGGTGTGGGGTCCCCAGAACGTTAAATTGGGTTGATCCTTAGAATTTAGAAAAATCTCTTGTCTCTTCGGTCAGACTTCAAGTAGAAAAAGCTGTCCCCCCCCCCCCCAAGCCATTTAAAAATAAAATCCAGATATTTAACAAACTGTGTTTTTTGAGTCTGCAGCAAGTTACAGGTTAACGCTAGGGTCACGCAGGACTTGATCTATTGGGAGGGGGGGTAACAAGCAACCTTTTTAAAACTCACCTGATAATTTTTGAAGTTTCCAAGAATGTGCTTTACTTGTTCAGCTGCCCCTGTCATAAAAGGCTTTACTCTCTCTGGCTTGGTTTCCTCAAGTCTGGCTTTGATTCTGGAGAAAGAAAGAAAGAAAGAAAGAAAGAAAGAAAGAGAGAGAGAGAGAGAGAGAGAGAGAGAGAGAGAGAGAGAGAGAGAGAGAAAGAAAGAAAGAAAGAAAGAAAGAAAGAAAGAAAGAAAGAAAGAAAGAAAGAAAGAAAGAAAGAAAGAAGACAGAGGGAGGGAAAGAGCAAGGGAAAGAAAAGAAAGAAAGAAAGAAAGAAAGAAAGAAAGAAAGAAAGAAAGAAAGAAAGAAAGAAAGAAAGAAAGAAATAACAATTCTTCAACACTTATACACCTTTTCTCCTCTCCCCCCCAAGTAAAACTCACAACAGAAATTACTTGATAAAGCAAATGCTGTACTATAGCAACATTAGTGGACTTAACAATACCATGTTTCCCCAAAAATAAGACCCTGTCATATATTTTTGGCACAAACAAGGGCACCAGGTCTTATTTTTGGAGTAAGTCCTCCACTGACTAACCTCACTTGCATGCATCACCCCCGGCCTCCTTTTTGCTGTCAGGGGCCTTCAGGAATTTCTTCTTCTGCGGCCGGCAAGGCGGGTGTCGGGGTGTGCAAGGCCTGGCTACACCTGTCCAAAGGTAAGTAGTAGGGCAGCTCCACCACCCTCCATCCCCACCCTAGCTTAATTTTTACCTGTCCACTCTGGAGTGGGTGGGATCTTAATTAGGGCTTATTTTGGGGGAGGAAGGACTTATATTGGGCGCACGTTAAAAATCAAGCTAGGGCTTTCTTTCAGGGTAGGTCATATTTTGGGGGAAACGGTATATGGGTAGTTTTACAATAGTGGCAAATATCTATGGGCAGCCCTCTACCTAACAATTATTAAAAGTTAGATTGGCACCGAAAGGACCGATCTTCATATTTACAATGACTGACAGCATCCCTTACGGTCATGCGATCAAAATTCAGACACTACGGCAAGAGGAAATGTGTTTACAATGATGTTGCGTCACACGAGCCACATTTGCGACCATCCTGGTCAGCTTCTGGCGTGAGTTCAGATTTCTCTAACACCGGCGTGATTCACTTCTAAATTGCAGTGACTCACTTAAGAACTTGGTAAATCATGCTGCAATGCACTGCGGCCCTGCTTATCAAGAGAAATGCTACTTTCCCAATAATGGCCATAAGCAGAGGACTACGTAAGATTCAAAGAGCTAGGCAGGACTACAAAATAGGGTGAACAAAAATAGATAATTTAAAAAAATCAGTTTTTATTTTAAGAAGAACTTTAGAAGAACTTTATTGTCATTGTACAAGTACAACGTAACTGTGGATGCAGCCCAGCAACTGTTTGCAATGCAATAAAATGAGAGCACTTAAAAATGAAGATAAGCAAAATAGAGTACCCACTTTTATCCATTTTATTTTCATAAAATGCTTTTGGAAGAAAAAAAATCTGTCTAAGGATAGTTGTCTATTTAAGAGACCTTAATAGTTTAGTTTCTTCGGTATGAAATGGAGCTTAGCTTATGTAGCGTAAGGCTGTATATTCTGCAATATTTACATTTTTCATCAACCCACTCAATGAATCCAAGCTCTCTGCGAGCTGAGATTAACATGCACTGCATCGATGCATTCACACAATTTCACAGCAGAGAGGACAGCCGCTCTTTAAAAATTATGGTTTAAATGGAGTTCAATTTAAATCGAAGCCTTTCTATAACTGGTGACTTAAATCGACTTGATTTAAATCAAATCCACCCTGCCACAAAAGCTGCAGTGGCATAGAATTATCGGCCCTCTGAGCCATGCTGGAGAATGTCAGCAAAGCAACGATAGCGATATCAACCACACGGGATGGAACCTACACGCGTCTTTACTAAACAATTGTGCTGTTTGTGCATCATGGAACCTATGCCATAATTTGCTGCTGCTGTGGGCGACACTCCCTCTGTCCTGGTGCCTGAATAATCAATAATAAAGCCAGGAGTGCAAATTCTTAACTAGAATAGATGCAATGCCTGCTCTCTTTCCTCCCTGCCTAACTACCTGAGGCGCAACTACAGGTAGTACTTGACTTGTGTAACAATTCATTTAGTGACCATTCGAAGTTAAGAGGGGCACTGAAAAGAGTGACTTAGGATGGCTTTTCACATTCAACGACTGTTGCAGCCATCACGTGATCAAAATTCAGAGGCTTAGCAACTGGCACAGACTTAGGACGGTTGCAATGCTTTCCCCAGCGTTCACGCCAATGGATTCACTTAACTGAGTTACTAATTCCCTGTATGCAAAATGCAGCGACTCGCTTAACCACGGGGGGGGGGGGGGGGGGGGGGCAAGAAAGGTAATAAAATGGGGAGAGCCTCACTTAGCAACAAGGTTGGGGCTCCAAAATTGTAGTCCTTACGTCGAGGGATACCCAAACCTCCAAACCTCCCAGCAACAAAGGTGTTTTTTTTTTTTATCTGACCTGATCTACAAATTATAGATATCCCACTTACCCCATATAGCCAGCGTGTACAGCAGCCCGTTCGATGCATGAAGGCCAGGCAGGCTGCCTTTTACACGCTTTCCAAAACTCTCTAGACATGCTCAGTCATCCTGGTCCCAAAGGTGCTTTTTTTTTTCCAGGAGGCAACTGGACTTCGTTTTTCTTTGAAGATGTTTTGCTTCTCATCAACTGACTGGATGGTGGGGAAGGATTGATACTCCTTGCAGACAAGCTGGTCATTTGCACATTTTTTTGAGGCCACTTGGAGGGTTATCTGTGTCCTCGTGGCCCCCTGAGTGGTACAAAAATAGGTGTGGGTCCTTCTTGGGACTGCCGAAAAGGACTGTGGAATTCCAAGAAGGCTCCACACCCATTTGCACCACTCGGGGGACCCTGAGGACACAGATAACCCTCCAAGTGGCCTCCAGGACTCTACAAAAGACTGCAATTGACCAGCTGTCTGCAAGGAATAGAAATCCTTCCATGCTCCACCATCCAGTCAGAGCTGAAGAAGCTTCTTGGATGAGAAGCAAAACATCTTCAAAAGAAAAAAACACAAGAAAGTCCACTTGCCTCCTGGAAAAAAAAAAAAAAAAGCACCTTTGGGACAACCACGGCCAGGATGATGGAGACTCTCCACGGACTTTTAGCTTTACAATTTGGGATGAACCCCCTTGGAATGGGGTGGGAGTAGGAATGGATCTCCAGAGGGGGAAAAATGCAGACTACAGGGACTCAGGTGACCCCCGAGGAGACAGATAAACCTCCAAGTGGCCTCAAGGACCCTCTAAAAAGGATGCAAATGACCAGCTGTCCCCAAGGCTTATCAATCCTTCCCTTCCCCACCATTCCTGTCAGAGCTGAAGCAGCTTCTTGGATGAGAAGCAAAACGTCTTCAATGGAAAAAAAAAAAAACAAGTTCCAGGTGCCTCCTGAAGAAAAAAAGCACCTTTGGGACAAGCTTTTCGGAAGGACAGCAGACGAGCTTCACTCGACCTATAAAGGAGGCCCCACTTACGACTTCATGTAGTCCTTGATGTACTTTTTGTAAGACTCCTTGGTGAAAGTGGTTTCCTGGAGGTGGTGATTCATGACGATGTCGACCCCGGTGATGACGGTGGCCTCTGTGCAGTCCCCTTCGGGGCCTTCGGCGGATGCGTTTCCCCCAATCAGGGCTTCGTCAATTTCACCCTCTTTCCTGCTGACCATCTGGGAGATTGAAAATAAGCTCCAATAAGACAAGGATAGATTAAGGACTGCGAAACAAGCTATCCCGTTAAGAAACCCCTTTGTTTCATCCAAAACAAGTCGGGAAAACGTGTATTCTGAATCATTCGGGTCATAAAGGCTGCTGTTGTGGCCCGTGGAAGATTCAGACAGTGAGGAGGTTGGGGGAGAACATGGGCCAGTCCTGAAGTCTGGGGAAGGTTCTGCGTCGGAGGCAGAGATGGAGGAAGGGCCATCGGACGGTTATCCGCTGCCTTCGGAGTCGGAGATCAGTGGGGAAGAAGAACAGACGGAGCCTGTTCCGTGTGCACATGTGCAGAGCTGCCAGAAGGGAACAGCTGAGGGACAAGGGCAGACTCGGGAATAAAGGCTCAGGCTGATGGTGAATGGCCCCTCCCATAGAGAATAAAAGAGGAGCAAAAGGGGATTGTGGTTTTGCAGGAGACAATTAGTTCATTTGGGTGAAGATCTGTTCTGCTACAGTGTGGCGTCTGAAAGATATCAGCCTGGCAACTCTCCAAGCCTGATAAAGGAAATTGGGAAATCTCTTGAAAGACTGTCGGCTGGGACTTTGCTGGAGAGGAATTCACCGTAAACTAAATAAAAGGGGGTTTATCGGGACGAGGAGTCAGCTTCCTGCTGTTGGGGGAAGCCTAGGTCAGAACAGCTGCTTACCCTCTGCACTTCTTCAAATTCAACCCAGAATTTGGTTTAATTCCTTTCAAAAGCACCCCTTGTTCTAATAATTAAAATATATTAGATGGTAATTCCAGGAAGCCCTCCACTTGCCAGGCCGTTCAAAGTTACTATGGCGCTGAAAAAAAGTGACTTACCACCATTTTTCACACTTATAACCGCTGTAGCATCCCCATGGCCACATGATCAAAACTGGGATGCTTGGCCACTGACCCGCATTTATGACAGTGGCAGTGTCCTGGGATCCCCTTTTGCGACCAGTCAACTGGGAACCCAGATTCACAACAGCCAGGTTACTAATTTAACAACGGCAGTGGTTCACTTTTAACAAGGGAGGAAGGCAAGGACGGAAGATGGAGACAAAATGCACTTAATTGGTTTTCTCATTTAAACAACGCAGGTTTGGGGCTCCATTGTGGCCGTAGGTTGAGGACTAGCTGTGCCCCAATGCAGCCCACCAGAGGCCCCCCCCCCTGCCCAGCTCTTACCTACCTTCCCTTCCACTTCCAGGCAGAGGCCATTGGCAACTTCTGTGATTTTGTAGATATCTGAGAACATCTCATCTTCTGCAAGAGGAAGAAAGGAGAAAGCTTTGCCCACCAACCTTCTCCCAAACTCGGCCCCCCACATCCATATCCACCAGCAGCCTGGAAAGTGGGTATCTTGCACCCTTCTCCCCTACCTTGGGGAGGGGAAATAGATCTGAAGCCCACCCACCCACCCCTCTGCTCTTCCCCCATCAGGAGCCACCCCACCCCCAGGTTCCTACAACACAGGGCAGGGATTCACGCCTTCCCCAAACTCCCACAGCCCAGAGGGCGAGAAAAGCATAGAATGGTAAGATTGGAAGGGTCCTTGGAGGTCTCCTAGTCCAGCCCCCTGGGTCTGTGGGAGTCACGCTCCCTGACCACGTGGCAGGCCCAAGACCCACCCTTTACTGCCATTTTACTTCTGCAGCCTAAGGGCTTCCAAGAAAGCCTGCAAAGAAGAGGCCAGCCGGTTGCAAAGGGGAAGCTTCAAAGCCAAGTTAGGCCCGTTTCCATAGGTCACCTTGGCTGTCAGTCAAAGGGAGACCCCCACCATTATTTTTCTAGGGTGCCAAATTGGGAGCCAGGCAGCACCCAACAGCAGGCCTTGCCCAAACTCCCCCCCCCCCCCCCAGAAAGCGAGAAGCATAGAATGATAAGGTTGGAAGGGTCCTTAGAGGTCATCAGCTCCCCCTGGATCTGCCAGGTGGGGGGAGAGTCATGCTCCCCCCACGTGGCAGGCCCAAGACTCACCTTTACCACCATCAGTGATGTAACTTTTGCAGCCTAAGAGCTTCTAAAAAAAAGCCTGCAGGTTGCAAAGGGGAAGCTTCAAACCCAGGTAGGCCTCACCTGTTCCCACAGGTAACTTTGGCTGTCAAAGGGAGACCCCACCACCACCACTATTATTCCAGGGCGTCCCCCCAAAAGCAGGCCTTCCCCAAATCCCGGAAACACAGAATAGGGTTGGAAGGATCCTTAGAGGGCCTCTAGTCCAGCCCCCAGCTTAAACACCCTTTCCAGACAAATGGTTGTCCTATTTCTTCTTTTAAAACCTCCAAAGATGGGAGGGGGAAAAAAAATAAAAATCAGCCTGCAATACCCCGCACGGCCAACAGGGGGCTACAGCTCCCATACTAGCCAACCCTTTGTCGCCCTCTAGAGGCGGCCGGCGGCTTCGACGCGCCGCCGCACTCATCCATCTTTACCCCCGCCCCGCCTCTCGCGCAAGCGCAGTGCGGGCGGCGGCCCGGCCGGCGCCTTGGCGACACACATGCGCAGACAATGGAGCGCCGTCTGGGTGCGGGGGGGGGAGGGGGGGTCGCCGACAAGGCCCTGGCTTCCTTTTTTTTCTCCCTCCCTTCCTTCCTAGGCGCTAGCGCTCGAGGACGGAGGAGCGCAGGCGCAGCCCGAGGGTGAGTCCGGCGCGCGCTCCCCGGCTTGGAATGCCAAGCCGCGCAGGCGCAGTCGGCGCCGCGGGGGGGCCTCCTCCTCCCCCTTCCCCCACCCTCCCGTAAGATTCAAAGGGGGGGGGAAGGAAAAAAAAGCGGCGCGAACGGGGGGGCTTCGGGCTTACGGCTGATGCAGTCGCGGTAGATGATCATGGCTGAGGCGGCGGGCGGGCGGCGGCGGCAGGCCGGGTGGAAGAGCGCTAGTGGCGGCAGCCCCCGGCGCGAGCGAAGAACGAGGCGGAAAAAGGCCGAGGAGGCGCCTCCGCGGAGCTCATATAGCCAGCAGGGCACGTCCCTGCCATCCGTGCGTCGCCAATCGCCGCGCTCCTCATGACGCACGAAACTGTGACGTAGCACGCACGCACGCCGGCCGCCCTCTTTCCCGTGCCTCTAGAAGCAAGAAATCAGACTCGCCCAAGCGCAAAAAGGGAAGCGCTGTTTCCGGGTTCCTTTTGTCAGGATTTGAGCCACCCTACCCCCCCCCACCCCAAAGGAAAATGAAGCCCATGATCCTTTGGAGTTGTTTATGTAGTCCTAGAAATTAGGGTTATATTATCTCTCTCTGCCTCGGAGGGGGGACCCTTAAGGATCTCAGAGTGGATTGCAATGTCTAAATACTTATTTCTTTTCAATCTGCCCAGGCTACAGAGAAATTTACATTGAATAAATCCTTCATTTCATTGTAAATGAATTAAATTCTTCCTCAAGGAGGAAAAAAAATACCTCCAGTCCAGTCGCCTTTTGAAAAAGCACCTATGAGACAACAATGACCGAGAATTTGCATTTACATTTAAATTTAAATTGAATTGTCTGCTGCTGCTGGTAAAAATCCTCATGACAGGCTTTGCAACCGAAATCTTCCAGGAGGGCAAATCAGAAGCAAGTTATGTCCATTAAGTCCTTGACTCATGAGCACAATGGAGCCTCAACATTTAGGTTGCTGACTGAGACAGTTATGAAGTGAGCTTTGCCCCATCTTATGACCTGCCTTGCTACACTTATACTTATTATCTTGTAAACAATTGGCAAATCAAATAAATAAATAAATAAATAAAATTTAAAAGTGAAATACTGCAATGGTTAAGTGAGTCACATGGTCGTGACTCACTTAACCATTGCAGTATTTCACTTTAAAAATGTGGCAAGGCAGGTCATAAGATGGCTTAACAGATAACAGATAATCAGAGCTGAAAAGGGTCTTTTGGTCATCTAGTCCAACCCCCCCTTGCCCAAGCAGGAAACCCTACACCATTTCTGACAAATGGCAGTCCAGTCTCTTCTTGAAAGCTTCCAGTGATGAAGCTCCCACAACTTCTGAAGGCAACTTATGTTCCATGGGTTGATTGTTAGAAAGTTTCTCCTTATTTCCAGGTTGAATTTCTCCTTGATCAGTTTCCATCCATTATTCCTTGTCTGGCCTTCAGGTGCCTTAGAAAATAGCTGGACCCCTTCCTCCTCTCTGGGGCAGCCCCTCAAATCTTGGAAGACTGCTATCTTGTCTCCCCTGGTCCTTCTCTTTACTAGACTAGCCAGGCCCAGTTCCTGCAACCGTTCATATGTTTTAGATGGGGCAAAACTTCACAACTATCTCACTTAAGTGAATGTAGCTTCCCCCATTGACTTTGCTGGCTAGAAGGTCACAAAACCTTCTAGCATGACATGACCTGGGATCATGTCACAAATATGAGTCAGTTGCCAGGCATCTGAATTTGATTCAAGTAATGCTACAACGGTCGTAAGTGTTGGAAGAATGATCCTTCTGGGTTCCAAGTGGGGGAGGAAGACACTGGAAACCTGTAGGGCTGTTTGGAAAGATGGTTTAATGGTGGACAGGACAGGACCACATGGCTTGGAACTCCAAAGCGAAAAGGACGATCACGTGTTTCAAGATGTTGGGTGAAGGAAAAAGGGCAGAGATGTAGAGAGTCCCTGGATTTTATACCCTCTGTTGGGATTTGAATTTGAGCTTGTTGTTCTGATTGGTTGTCAGACTCCCGTGGGGTCATGCAGGGACAACTCTGTAGGCTGTCTTTTGAGTCTCAGGCTTGGTTGAGCCTTGCCTGGTGATGGTGTAATGAAAGGGCTTTGGGCAATTCCTATTACAGCTCTATCTGGAGCAGATCTTCGTTATGTAAAATAGACTGGCCTAGGCCAGAGTAATGGTCCATTTACAAAGGTGCGGAGGGGAGGGGCTAAGTTTCTGCCTCTCCGAGTTTCTACTTTTCTTTTTAGGGAAAATATTCTGCCTTTTTAGTATATCCTAAAATATTTCATTTTCCTAGGAGAGGGGTGGGTTTTAACTCCCAACATAAGTGTGAAGAACAGTCCAAAGTCACATTTTTTCAAGGCCATTAAAAAAAAATGGTAGGAAGGTTGCAAAAAAAAAAAATTAGTTCCAACTCGAGTTCAAATGGCAAATTGTATCTTTGGAAACTTTCTGAAGAAGAAAATTAACAATGTTAAAAGTTTAAAACCAAAAAGGCTTCAGTTTCATTCAAACTTCTCTTTCCAAGTCTCCCCTGACAATCTTCTGGGGAAGAATGAGACAAAGAAGAACTTGGTAGATGAACTGGGAAGTGTGTCAGCTTGGAGACTATCTGGGGAGTAAATAGATTTGAAAGCCTGTTTTTTGACAACTCATCATAGGAGCAATCTGGAGGAATCATGCAGCCCTGGAGTAAAAGCTAACAAGGATAAATACTGTATATAATTATGCATTTAATTTGCAGTGGGTAGCGCCCTCTGACTGACGTTTCCCCTGGAAAAGCTGGATTTTTACGGGCTCTCCGAAAATATCGTCCTGATCAGCTAGCCAGGAGAAACTTTGGGAGGTAAGCAAAACATTGGAAAAATAAACTCTGCTACTCCCCCCCCCCCCAAAAAAAAAAACATTTTAGCTGTATTGGAAGTAATATTGACTAACAGCAAAGTCTTGAGAAAGAATGAGTGTCCGTTTATTGACATTTAGTTCCTGTACTTTAGACATATAAAACCATCCTGAGTATGTCCAAACAGGGGATAACGTCAGCCGAAACCTCTGCTTTTAACAGAATAATAGAGTTGGAAGAGGGACCTTGGAGGTCTTCTAGTCCAACCCCCCTGGCTCAAGGCAGGAGACCCTATATCATTCCGGACAAAGGGCTGTCCAGTCTCTTCTTAAAAAGCATCAGAAATCTGATTGTGCAAGATATTGTGTGTGTGTGTGAGAGAGAGAGTATTGGGGAAGAAAACAGGGCAAATCACTTCTCTACGGCCCATGCATTTCTTCATCACAAGGGCCACTTTTGGTTAGTAGGAAGCTAAGCTACCTATTACTCTTCCTTTGCTGTCTTTGGCTCCACTGGGTAGAGATTCCCAGTCTCTTTCCTCCCCCCCCCTCTCTTTTTCTCTTTCTTTGTCTGTCTCTCTTCCTCTTTCTGACTCTCTCTTTCTCTCTTTTTTCCTTTCTCTCTTTTTGTTTCTATCTTTCTCTCTCTCTCTCTCTCTTTCCTTTCTCTCTCTCTGCCTCTTTCTCTTTTTCCAACTTTCTCCTTTCTCTTTGTCTCTTTCTCATTTTCTCTTTCTCTTTTTCTTTGTCTTTTTCTTTCTTTTTCCCTTTCCCTTTCTTTTTCTCCTTCTTGTCTCTTTCTGTTTTTCTTTTTTTCTTTCTTTTTCCCTTTCTTTTTCTCTTTCTGTCTCTTTCTGTTTTTCTTTCTTTTTCTCTTTCTGTCTCTTTTCTTTCTCTTTCTCTTTTTATTTCTCTCTTTTTCTCTTTCTGTCTCTTTTTCTTTCTTTCTCTCTTTTTCACTTTCTCTTTTTCTCTGTCTCTTTTCCTTTCTCTTTCCCTTTTTATTTCTCTGTCTTTTTCTCTTTCTGTCTCTTTTCCTTTCTCTTTCTCTATTTCTCTGTCTTTTTCTCTTTCTGTCTCTTTCTTTCTTTCTCTTTTTCACTTTCTTTTTTCTTTCTCTTTCTGTCTCTTTTCTCTCTCTCTCTCTCTCTCTCTCTTACACACGCCCTCTTTCCCTCCAGATGCCCTGGGGGCCAGGGCGTCTCTCTCTCTCTCTCTCTTTCTCGCCGGGTCCCCCGGGGAGGAGCGCCCAGCGATCGGCGGGGGAGGCCAGGCCAGCGGCTTCTGTGAGCTCCTGCCTTCCCTCCGTCCCTCCCTTCCCTTCCTTCGCTTCCCGCCTCCCCCTCCTGGCCGGTAAGTGAGCCCGGGGTGGAGGGGTGTGTGGCCGGGGGGAGGAGGCTGGGGTTCGGGGCTTGGGGGGGCGGCGGGCTGGGCGCCTGGCCAGCCTTCCCAATCCCGGGGCTCCTTTGCAAAGCCTCCGCCTGGGGAGGGAGCAGCCGCCGCTCTCGCCAAGCCAGCTCGCGGGCGCCCGCTTGCAAAACCAGGCCGGCCGGCCGGCTCTCGGGCCCCACCTGCCTGGCGGAGGGCGCTCCCCGCCTCCGCCTCCGCCTCCTCCGGCTGTCCGAGCTGCCTCGGCTGGACACCCTCGCGGGAGAGGAGGAAGAGCCGGCTCGCCTCCCGCTTTGCTAGGCAGCGGAGGCGCCCGCGCAAGTCGCCCTTTAAGCGGCCCCGATGCTAAATTACACCTGGTTGTTGCAGTGGCTGGTGGAAAAGGTGAGCCGCGGGATGGGAGACCACGAGGAAAGCCTAGGGAGAGCCCCAAAGGAAAGGTCACAACCGGCCTTGAAGGGTAGTTCTCGGCTTCCGACCATTCAAGGTTACAATAGAAGTTGTGGGAGGCTTGCACTGCCCTCTGTCAGAAATGGTGTAGTAGGGTCTCCTGCTTGGGTGGGGGTTGGACTAGATGACCTACAAGGTCCCTTCCAATTCTGATTATCTGCTTAATCTGTTTAAGTCCTTTAAGTCCTTTTTTTCATGTTTTTTTTTTGACCCTTTGTGGCATGGATTCCCTCGGTCACACGACCCAAATTCCAAGGCTTGGCAACTGGCATGTACTTATGACGGTTGCAGCCTCCCATGATTTGACCTTTTGACAAGCAGAGTCCATGGGAAAAGCAGGGTTTGTGGGACTCACTCAGCAATGGAGGCAATTTACTTAACAACCGAAAGATAAAGAACCTTTAAAGAAAAATTATACAACCACAGTAGTAAGAAAAGCCATAAAATGGGGGGGGGGGACTCATTTCACAGCCAACTCGCTTAGCAACTGAAATGGTCGGCTCACTTGGGGTGGTAAGTTGTGTTTCCGGTCCGTTTGAACTGGAATTTTTTCTCCCAGGGATAATATCAGAAAAATTTAAGAAGGAAATAATGTATCTCAATAGTACATGT